ACGTTCTACTACCACTAAATAATACTATAATACGTAACAGAAAAATAAATTCTAAAAAAACTACATCAAGTTTTTAAGAATGACATGCTCTTAACAGCATTGACGAAGCAACTTGCACCGAATACTCTAGATTTATTCGTCGATTATATATTTTTCCTTACCTCGATTCCAAGAATTTCGAATCACGAATAATGTGCAAAATTTGAAATCCTCGAAAACCGTTCATCGATTCCGAGGCGTTTTGACGTTTCGACAAACCCATCCCTAATCCGGTTCACTTGGCCACGTATCCAAAACTTTCAGATTCCATTCCCCCAAAAACAAACACCTCAAACTAAACAAAAATGTGTTCTCCCGTTTCGACTTACGTTTCCTCATAGAATCATCTGATGCCCAACCTGAGACAGCCTGTACACCTGAAATTTTTGGCGAACGCTCCAGAAGTTGGTGAAGAAGCGCAGAGGGAGGGGTTAGACGAGGAAGAGGAGTCAACGAGGTGACCGATGGAGGCGGAGAGAAGAGAAAAGAAGAGAACGAGCAAGAGAGGGGGGGGCAGGGGGGCCACGGAATGACACTGTTCGTGTGTTACTCATTGTTTTGCTGAAAGTGGTGGTAGTCGGCCCGCGCGCTCGCCATGTTAAACCCGTCGTATTTACGAAACCGTGGACGTGTAGTAGTGGTGGCACCGTGTTCTAGACGTCAGATGCTGCTCGACGAAGGAAGTGGCTCTCTCGTTGGCGTTGGCGGCGGCGGCGGCAACGGCGGTGGTGGTGGTAGGCGGTGGTAGCGAGCGCGCGGCACACTTCGCGCTTCTCTTTTGTAAGTTCTCGCAGTGACACGCACCTCGGGTTGCTCCCGCAGGTGAACACACGGGATCGTTTGTTTCCTCAGTTCGTTCGAACACAAACGCAACGCCACCATCCGTCTATTTTGTTCTTGTTCATTTGTTTTTATTTTCCGACCCGCGATCCATTCCGTGCGGAACCGTGTTTACCGGAGGAACCGCGGGAACCCAGAACCGATGCGCGTGGAACAGCGGGACACGGCCTCGGCCTTGCGACTCGTCATCCTTGCAACCGTGCCGCTCCGTGGATACCAGTAGAACACGGAGGAATCGACGAACTACCTTTCCGCGTCTCGTTCAAGCGCCACGTGCTCGAACGTGTTTGGGATTTCCCGATCTCTTCCTACGTGTTTGGACGGCAACGGTTTCTCTGGCCGCCAGTTGTGACGGTTCCTGCTTCGTGGCTGACTACGGTCCTGTATTTAGCAAGTAAGGTATATTGTTTGGTGTAGAGACATGTGATTTAATGTTTTTTTTTTTTTTTTTTGAGGAAATCTTGATGGAGGAATCAAGGTTTTGTACTTGTAAAGTTTATATTCGTGATTTTTCTCTACGTCGCATCGTTGGTACTCGATTGAAGATCGAGAAGATATTTTCTTTTTGAAATATGTTACGTCCAAAATTACAAAATAATAGAGTACTTATTGGTACAAGTAATGACTGCCCTTCTTACAGAAAACTGGGAAAAAATGGCCGTTAGATTGCGGTTTTTTATGCGTTTGTATCAGTTTTAAAGATTTGAAACGTTTTGGCGGGAACTGATAATGGCTGTATTGGTTTCGATTGAGAATTTGAAATAAAATAAAATAATTGACAGTTTGTTGCTGAAGAAAGGAAAATATTCTAATTACGAAGTGAGATAATATTTCAAGTGTTTAACCGCTTATGAATTATTTTACAAATTCTGTTAAAACTAAAATTAATAAATGACGTCTGAGTACTGTTGGCATAACAGAGAAGGAGCGTTAAACCGCATAAATATACACGTTTTCGAATAAGGTAAACTAGTCCAGTAGGTCCGAGTTAATACAGAACAAAGGAAATTCCACATTACATATATCAAAACCGAGTTAACTCGGTGTATATCCTTAAGCGGTTAAACATCACGCTGAAATATGTACTCAGACACTGGTTCTATTCGGTATCGTTCGAATAACAAACACCCAAATGGTACCCATTAAATGGCACCCAGATCTGCTTTCTTTTAGACATTTTATGAATGAAGACAGATATGAATTTCTGAAACATTATGAATAAAATTCAATTAACTCCAGAAAAATTACGAATTTCAGATTTTTTATTTTACAATTGCTAAAAATATAAAGATGCTTTTGTCGGAATTTATGTTGACTTTCAATTTATTATATATTTTACACGATGCTACATTCTGTTATATTGTCATTATATATTATACAATTTAGTTTAGCATAAATTCAACGCTGATAGTTCTAGCATTAATGTTAAATACGTATAGCTTAATGCCTCTGTGGTGTTCTCAATTTCAAAGTCACTTAGAAAGAGGACACCGGCTAGTAATCGATCAACGATCTATTTGCCCAATTACTACGTGAAGATTGTTCCATTTTAGTGAGAGAAACGCCTACGACTGCGTCGACACTATTTCGTTTGGTTAGACGGAAAGTGAAAAATCGGTTTTCAAAAGAGTAAAGTGTGGCTCAAATGGGAATAGACGGAATGAGTTTGAAAAATGTCGGTGAAAGTACACGACGGTCAAGTTTACACACGAAGAAAGCGGCATGAGATGCACCGTTTTAATATTGCAGACTGCAGACCTATTCGGAGCATCTCTGATTCCGTAATGAATTCACGTCTTACATTGTAGATTAGAATCACTAGAGCGTGATTCTTCTATATTGTTTAATACGCTGAATCTTATGCAATTGAAGATGACACATACATTCTTTGTAATTGATATATAAAATAAACATTTGAGTATAATTAAACAAACATTTTGAGCTACAACCTGCTTTTAAATTCATTTATTAATAACTGTGAATATTATATATAATCGTGGATCAAATAATAATTGAGATTCGAAAGAAACATATAACGTAAAGGAAAATGGTACAAACGTCAACTGCAACCAGAAATATTTTTAATGTTTTTATATAGATTGTATATATAGTATGTTATATTGTCGATAAAATATTTAAATATTTTGCGAAAGATACCAAATAAAAGTGCCAAGATATAGTGAGCTTTAAATACTGTATTTAATTTTAACGGACGCTATTTTGAGTGAAGTATTAAATATTTCAATGAATTTAAACTGTACTGTTACGTTCCATCGCGAGTACCGCTAACCTTTCCACAGATTTTATAGAAGTAAAGCGCTGATTGATCGACGACTAATTTCGTCCCAAGCCAATAATTGTAACCCAATTTTTTTTTGGCGACGTCTGATATTTTTAACCGCTCGTCAGATTCGTTTAACACATATTTTATACATTCCCTCCAGAATAGACTGTTCTGCCACAGAAAGTAACAAGTAAATATAAAATTTGTCCGTTATTTATAACGTACAGACGAAAGGTAATTGTCAACTGTGTTGGACTGAAACAAATTTCTGAAGAAGAGAAATGCAAATTATTTATTATTTAATACACGCATGGTAATATACATATTGCGCGCATCTTTATTTTACTATGTAACTTGATGTCTAAATAACATATAATTAACGATATTAATTTACATATTATATATGAGCTGTTCACAGATGAAAGTGACATTTTTGAATTTGTTTTAAATTTTAGTACCAAAGCACTTGATTGGTAGTTAACTGTTCAATATATTTAAATAAACATTAAACATCAATTTTCTGGAGTTAATCACTTTGACAAATTAGTGGCTCGTATTTGTGATTATAAATATATTTAGAATTAGATTGAGATTAACACTAGAACTACCAAACCGGTAAAAATGACGGAATTCAGATTTATTATTTTATAATTACTAAAATTGTTAAGGTACTTTCTTAGGCATCCAAGTCGATCATTAATTTATTATATATTCTACGCTATACTGTATTATATTGTTATACATTTCGATGTATTATACAATTTAATTTAATATCCGTTCAATGCTGATAGTTCTGAAACGAGTTAGACCAGCATTTTTCTAATTACACCGTGTTACCATTTTCATTCGCAGAATGCTCCGACTGATTCTCATCTCTGCCTCCATTTTCGGGGCTTTCTACGAAACTGCGGCCGCTTCTCAGCACATTAACAAAGACCCAGCCAACCGCTACAATGCTCGTTTCCACGCTTACGAGGAGCCGTACAGTATTGACTTCACATATCACAATTACGACCAAATGAGTCGTTTTCTACGAGCAACGTCGCTCCGTTTTCAAAATTTAACTGCCTTATACTCCATAGGAAAGTCCGTGAAAGGTATGCTTGCCAAGACACCACTTTATTATCTTTGTCTGTACTTCTTAACCCCATTTACAATGAGCTACGAGACTGTTCGAACGACAACGAGGAAATTCAATGCTTCTTTGTGTATATAAAACTTGTACAATTATACATATATCAAAATTGTACGTTTTTTTTAATTTTTTTTTTTTATAAATCTCTTTTATTCATCTACCAGTCTTACAGTTTGTAGACTTGTACGTGTGTTATTTATTTAGTTAACAATCATTGAACATAAACGAATTTCATAAAAAATAGTAAAACAATAGATACACAGGTTGTAAAAAAATTGTTTACAACCGTGTCGTTCAAACACTTCCATTGCTCTCTGTATATGCAGGATGTGTCATTTAAATCGATCCCTTCGAATATCTTCGAGATCGTTAATGGTACCGAAAAATATTTCAGATAAAAGTTGAAATGAAATTATTTCCCCTTCGAAACCATTCAACTTTTATCTGAAATATTTTTCAGGATCATCGACGGTTTCGAAGGTATTCTGATTCATCTATATTGATCTTCTTTATATAACTCCCTCATTCATTCTTATAATTTTATTTCTGCCTACTGACGTGATATCTGACATTCTCAATTAACTATGTATTATTCCACAATTATATCTAGTGGTATAATATTAATAGAGTTTCATATACTAAGGAACTGTAATAATAGATTTCAACATAAAAAATAGAACACAAAAATATTATTTTCCAGGTCGCGACTTATGGGTGATGGTTGTTTCTTCCTCACCTTATGAACATATGATTGGCAAACCCGATGTGAAGTACGTAGCCAATATACATGGGAATGAAGCCGTGGGTCGTGAGTTAATGTTACATCTGATTCATGTAAGTAGTCATATGATACACTTTGCACCGCCATTGACCCCGAGTTTATATTCGTACCCAAGGGAAACATTATTAACTTGGTCGCCGATTTGTGAGAAATTTCGTTGGAAATGTTTATACGAAGAGTTTAGGCAAATTTTTTTACTTATGATGAATATACCAGGTGTTTTAGTTCTCTTGATCGTCTGAAATATATCTCTCCATTGTTCTCTAAAATAATTTTTATTTCGAAAAGTAAAGTGTTTTCGCGTTCGCGTATTTAATTGAAAGTGAAATACTCCGGTTCAACTTGTCGAAGTAAATAGAAGTCATTTGGAACACCTTGTATAAAAAGAAAATATTGAATTTTCAATTTTTCTCAAAAAATTTGAAATTTTTATTCTTCAAGGTCTCCTGAATGTTATGCATTTGAAAAGAGTAACATGAGCTTGATAGTTTAAATATAATTCATCTTCAGAAGATAGTATTAACAATCACAATATCTATTATTTCAGAACAAATTACTCTTTCTTGTAGTTATGTTTCACCTAAGCAACCCTTTTATTGCAGATACTCGTTTTTCCACGACATAGATTTCTGTCACATAATTTATGAAAATTAATATTTGCATGAACATCCGCGGTCTACTTATTACCATTTGGTGCGATAGTTGATATCATAGACCGTTTCTTCGTTGAGAAGTTATTAATGCACGGATTACACAGGTGCTGTGTATAAATACTTCATCCTGATCTTATAACCTTTCTAATGTATTCAATTGAATCACAGAACAGACATTCTAAAATAGTAATACGGAACCACGACCTGTGTACTAACAATGATGATACGTTCTTTTACGTCACGAAAAGATATAAATTAATTTTAAGTATTAGAATTCAGAAATATTAAGTACTACTTTTGTATTCACAGTACTTCGTAACGAATTATGGATCGGATCCATTTGTTACGTGGCTTCTAGACAATACTAGAATACACATTCTGCCATCTATGAATCCTGATGGTTTCGAAGTTTCTAAAGAGGGATATTGCGAAGGTGGGAGAGGAAGGTAAGATTTTTCCATCATTTTTGTTAAAAATTGAAAAATAATGAGAAATCATCATTTCTAACGAATGATTTATTCTGTACAAAATATGTAATTTTCTATAGTAAGGTCTCAAGCATAGAGCCATGCTATAGCACGATCTATATGCAAACAGAATGTTCGGTGATGGTAATATGTTTACAGCAAACGTAGATATCACAAACAAGCAACTTCATTGGATGACAATTCACTCAAAGTGAAAAATATTGATAACAAGTGCGAAAGTGTGAGTCCAATCTGACACCTGAAGTATGATTTGCTTTGACATGTTTTCTGTGTTACCTATTACATATTATCTATGTCAGCCATTGGAATGCACGCCGTACACTAGGCAAAAACAAACAGCCTCTTTTAACTGAAAGTTTGGCTGGGAAGCAATTCAGTTCAACCCAAGTCCAGAAACTCGAATAGGAACAACAGGACTGAAGAATTAGAATTTAAACCAACCAAGAAAGGAGAGACTCGAATTAGACCAACCAAGGACTGAGGGACTTGAATTGTACCCACCTACGACCAAAGAATTCGAATTGGACCAATCCAGCACCGAAAGGCTCGATTCAGAATAACCTAGAACCGAAGGAGTGGGATCTTGGCCCTGTTTTGATAGAAATAGGGTCTCTTGGTCCTGAGTCGATCCGATTCAAATCTCTCAGTCTAAAATTGGTCCAATTCGGATCCTAAGGTCTTAGGTTGGTGAATGATTGGTTTCTTGATCATGGTTTAGTTCGCGATTAAATATACTGTCAATGAAATCTTGCGGTTTCTAACCAATCTCACGCATAGTTGAGCAAGTAAAATGCATAATAGGAGACGTAGCAAAAATTGTACGGGACAAATCATAATTTATGTTTTACTCGCTGTCTATAAACATGTTGCCAGAACCGAAACTCTAGTCCATACATTGAGCATGCTGTGCTTAAAATATTGTGTATCTCATCTTTGAAAATTCAATCAACTTACGTGTTCGAAATTCTATATTTTTATTGAAAATATATTCTAGATATAATGCCCGTGGTTTCGATTTAAACCGCAACTTCCCCGATTACTTCAAACAAAACAATAAGAAAAGCCAACCGGAAACAGAGGCTGTTAAAGAATGGGTGTCCAAAATTCAGTTCGTATTGTCTGGAAGTTTACATGGAGGTGCCTTGGTTGCCAGTTATCCGTTCGACAATACACCGAATTCACGTAAGTTCCCTTTTGTACGCAAATACAAAATCAAAAAGAATATACAATGAATACCTCTGTCATTTTTTTTGAATGTTTTTATATTCTCGACAATTTATTGAACAATTATATTCTAATCGAAGATAATGTTACGAATATTAGTAATTTCGAAAATGAATATTTTTCTGTTGCTACTAAAATTAATTATATTACGTAAGGTATATGATTGAAAGCAATCTCATCCTGTTGTGTAACTTTTCATGCTGTCAGGAATATGCCGGTCAGCGCCATTATGTGCAGGTATATGGTGTATTTGCTAACTGATTCATCTATCGAAAGTCTTGATATCTGTTGCCAATTAATTTATGCCGGGCTTTAATCCGAAACGTGTTTTAATTTAACCACATATTAAGCTACAGCTTTGGCATTATATGATTGCTGTATTAACAATATAACAAAAAGACAATGTCGTGTTCGTATGTTTATTTGGAATTACATTTAAAATTTGGTAATGCTTGAAAATATTACATAATTCCAGTGGGTAATTCACTATCTTTCGCCAAATTCATAATTTTTTTTATCTTATTCGTATTCTCGTATATTCCACGCGATTTTATCAAGCAAAAGAGTAAAACCATGGACTAAATTTAAACTACATTCTTCATAAGTCATCTTATGAAGAAAGTAATGATTTACTCGTTGGTACGTCTAATATATAATTAATACTCACACTGCAAAATTTAATCTGCCAAAAAGTGACATTTTATGTACTTCCGCCTAATACAGAACGGCACAAAAATAACGCAATCCTAAACTCTAACGCACGAAACACAATTAATGTAAACGATGGAGCAATTCTACGATATACAATAGTATACTTTTCATTAATTATTAAAATTTGTACGTTGCGTTATTTCCACGTCATTCTTTATAAATACCGGGTGCCTTGACGTATTTCTCGCGAACATATAACGTGGTCGTAACAAGAGTCGGAACAACTACTGAAGAGATAAAAGATACAATGTCGATCTACATCCAAAATCCTCCTAACTTTTTTACTATTGCCAACAGCCTATGGAAAGTTAAAATTCTTTCAAATATTCCAAATATTAAACAGAATTTACAGTTACCCTGACAGCGAATCAACTTACAGTCAGTCAACAGTTTTTTATTTAATTTACAACCATCTTTAAACCCGTCTACTATTTATATTATCCTTTAATTTACAACCACGCTATATCTCGACGTGAACAATACCTACAAGTTTCATAATGCACCCCTTATTAATTCTATGTGACGCGTGCTTCGCAATTAGACTTCCTTCAATGTTGCGCGAAATTTCAGTGAATGAAAACCGTGCAAGATTTATAACAGGCTGGATCAGTCTTTCAGAGTTACACCTCGGCGCCAAGCATTTCGGCGGACGACGACGTGTTCCAACACCTGTCGCTGGTGTACTCTCGTAACCATGGATCCATGCACCAAGGACTACCGTGTTCACCGTCTCAACCGGGATTCAAGAATGGTATCACGAACGGGGCGCAATGGTACCCGCTCACCGGTGGAATGCAAGACTTTAACTACGTGTGGAACGGTTGCATGGAGATCACGTTAGAGCTATCCTGCTGCAAATTTCCACCAGCTTCCGACTTGCAATTCTACTGGGACGAAAATCGTGCTGTGAGTTTTGAACTTGAAACGTTTACGTTAACCTTGAATAGACGCTTCCTAATTTTCCTATGTATATTTTGTATTCTGGTACCTATCAAGTGTTTATTCAGTTATTTCTCGACATAATATAGCGACCCTTCGATTTCTACACTAGCATACTGTATTTGATGAAAGCAGAATGTGTTTTATAATATTCGGTGAGTATAAAATACTGTAGTCGTTTATTATTCAAAAGATGCTACAAAGAAATTTCTAAAAAAATGTTTTGTCCCATATACGAACCACCCTAATATTGTCTGATATTTTATGTTATTCAGTATCCCTGTTTTATGTCTTTTTAATATCTAATCAAGGAAGTGAGAATATTCGACTGAAGAGAATAATTGAGACTTACTTAAAGTAGTCTGTGACGAACGTTTTCAAAACAATATACTAGCAGGGAATGTGTTAAGGATAGAAATCTAATACATATTACGAAAGAATACAGTTACTAAATACATAAACGAATAAAACAATTTTATATCCTTTATTTGAATAAATAAAGGTATGATTTATAAAGCCTATTTGTAACGTAGTATTGTGTTAACAATCATATAAAGCATTATGTTGCCTGATTGTACGGCTAGATAAGAACATGATTTATTATTCACTTACAGTATAATTTATGTTACACATTTAATGTATCATGTCTTTACTGTAATTAGTAACTATATCGGGTAGATTAATACAACCGGGCAAGAAGTTATTCTACATGCAAAAACAAATCGAAAATATGGAATAAAATTTTTTCCTATGATGCTTTGTTTCCGAGATAATCGAATTTGAAAATCTGCTGGATACACGTATAATTGAAAAGGACTTTGCTACCGCGTCTGTTCGTCACATTCCATTTCTACTTATTGTCACCACGAATGCACACGCATACTCGATGAAATGTCCAAGTGGTCTTTTTTCGAAAACGAAGCCTCGTATGAAAAGAATTTATTCTTCTTTGTTGACACTATTTTTTCTTATAGAATCACGTACTGCCCGGTTATATCACCTGACCTGAAACAGCTATAGAATTCGATGTGTCTGAATATGCGTATAATAATTATGTTTATAATGTCATATACCCTAAATGTATAAACTTTGATTTTTGTAGGCTCTCATTAAGTTCTTAGCAGAAGCTCACAGAGGTGTACGTGGATTTGTAGTCGATGAGAACGGGAATCCGATCGAAAGAGCGTCCATTAAAGTGAAGACACGGGACGTTAGTTTCCTTACCACGAAATATGGTGAATTCTGGAGAATTTTATTACCAGGACTGTATAAACTTGAGGTAATATATCCATGTTCTGATACAATTATAATTGCTTCGATTTAATTTATCTCTATTGTGTTCATTTAAAACTAGTTCTCCCACAATATTGTTAATAAAATAAGCAAATTCAATTTTACTCATTGTTACTCTAAAGTCAGCATCAAAATTGTATTTCTCAAAAACTGCTTTAGATCGTACAATCTGATTTTATTTTTTCAGGTATACGCCAATGGATACCTTCCCCGCGATGTAGAATTTAGAGTAGTAGAACAGCACCCGACGTCTTTCAACGTAACGTTATATAAGGCGAATATTGTAAGTATAACATGAATACTGTATTTTTTCGATATTAGTTGTATAATACAATGGTGCCCCTATTAATGTTCACATTTCTTGCGCAGTTAATAGTCGCAAGCTATCCTAATCATCTATGTAGTAACTGAACAATCATAGCCATTTCTTCAACAGACAATTCTAACATTTACTACATAAAAAAAAGAATTCACAGAAATTCTACTATTTGTACCAAAATTTAATATTGTATTAATATATATTTCATAAACCTTATTTCGTAGAAATATTAATTTACAGAGTGAAAAATTGAATACCTCGAAAATGATTTGTTCACCGATTTATGTTTATTTATTAACCCCTTTTGTTGTTGAACCTTTATCTTAGTATTTATCGATAATAGAGATATCCTAACGAAGAGGAAAATGGATCCAACTTCTACACAGGAAACAGGGACCAACTTCATCGAGATCACGTGATACATTTTCGACCACATCCTGGAACCAACACTGCAGCTTCTGACGCGAACAGTGGGATTTTCTCGTCTCTCAGTAACGGATTCAATTCTTTCGTCAGTAATTGGTTTGGGTGATTAATAATAATTTATTGAAACCGATACGGTCAATTAAATTATCATCGACGCAAGGGCCACATTCGACTAAACTGCGGACGTACAAGAATTCAGATGAGAATTTTAAATGACGAATTATTATATCGAGAATAGATATAATAGGAAGTTGTTGAATATATTTAAATATTTTAATACCATTGTATTACAATATTTAAATATTCTATTGTTGAGAATATCATGATTATTTATTATTTTGTAGTGTTATTATTTTCGATTATAGATCGTCTAACAAAGTTGCAGGATTCTGAAAATTTTTCAGAATTTCGACAAAATATAAAATTAAAAATTGGTCGATCAAAAATGCAATTGATATTGTAGATATTTCAATGTCGTATAAACGAAATTCGTGTATCTGTTTTACGGTAAATTATATGAAATTATTTATTGATTATTAATGTTATTTATTTACTTTTAATATTATTTTAAATGATAAAAAACAAAGTATATTGAACAATTTCATTTTTGTTACTCTGAGCTGTGTAACTATTATTACCGAAATAATAATTTAATTTAAAATGCATTCAAATTTAAGCTTATTTTAAAATGTTGTTCGAGAAAATTAGCTAATATATTGTACATAAAATATAAAGATTTATTGTAATACATAACTAATTTGCAATTCAATATTTATTTCTTTAAAAGCAAATGCGAGATTTTTTGAAAATGTTTTTTGTCTCTCTTATAAAATTTCCTTTTCATACGGAAATAACAATTACACTACATTTTTCTATTTCATCATCTTCAAAAACTACAACGTGAAATTTTACGAATTGAAAAATATTTCATTACGTTTCATGTTACTAATCATTACAAACGAACCTGCTTTCTTTTTACTAACTTTTAAGTGAAACAAATTTTATTACACTTTATTACTATTTTTTTATGCACAGTTACCATTTAATGTTTTCAAGTTCATAAAATCTTCCAGTTACTATATATTTCTGCCTTGTAGGTGAATAAAAGAAAATTGTATTCAATATCGAAGTTATTAATTAAAATTATATTTTTTACATTAAATAAATGCATTTTGGAGAGAAGTACATAACGAACAAATTTTGAATACTACACACGTATCATGTATTATGATTATTAAACTATAGATGTTGAAATTTGAAGTAAAATTTTAAAATAGAACACAGCAGTAAAAGCGGAAGTAGAATTGTTACATAGATTAATTAAGAGAAAATTATACTGAACGAAATTCATAAACATTTTTGCTTCAGAGATTAATATCTATTTTTGTAGATCATCTAGGGTATAGCAGATATATTACGTCGCGAACGATTCTACGCACATATAGGTGTTTTAAAAATATGAGCGTACCTTCAAGAATAAAATTGCCATAAAGACATAATGAAAACAGTTCATCTAAAGGATATTTGCTCTGTTTGACACTTTTTTAAAATTCTAATTTGAAACCCGCTAATGTGATTCATCGACAAAATAATTCATTAGACGTATAAAATAAATAATTAGAAAGTTAAATTAGAAATGTAAAAGAATTAATAAGTTTCTAGTAAGTCTTCGCAATAATATATTGCATAAACAGAAAGCACTGCCTTTATACAATTACAGAGGCGACATTAACAGTAACAGTAATAATTAATAACAATGTAATATGTATATCTCGGTATGATTATTTCATGTATATTACATCTCTTATTTTGTATAATACAAATTGAGAAATTATAGATGTCCTGTAACCATTGTGTTCAAGTTGTATTAATAAAAATGAAATCCATATACATACTACAAACCTTACAATGATACCTCAGATTACGTAATTATGATATTATTACAGCTTATATTATTATAGCGTATAATCTTATAAAGACGTTTTTTCCTTCGTTTCTTTGACTGGAAATATTATCAGTTGGTGTATTCATAATGAATAACAAATAAATGGATTACAATAATTTATTCACATATATCAAAACTATGTATAATATTTGATTCAATTTACAATGTCCATTTTCAAAAATAACACTGTAGAGTATTACAGTACACTTCATTACAATTCTTTTGTAACTTGATAAATTGAAAAAAAATAGCTAAAAACAAGTAACGACCTATGATCAAGTATTGGAAAACTTCATATCAATTACTATTATTTACAGGTGGTGCATTAAGTCCACCAATATCACCAGATTCAAGTTGTTTTAGAAGGCGAAAGAGAGCTGCAGCTTCTCTGATTCGGCTGAATTCAATACAAAAAGCCTGCACCTCAATGAAGAGTTCCTTTACATTGATAATCTTATTCCTGATCAAGGATTGCAGAAACACGCAAACTAAGCGTACTAAACGATTCTGCATATAACGATCCTTTATAGTTTCACAAGTGGAAATACAATTGCTAATGTACAAATGAACAAACTCTGTAGGTAAATCAACAGTGGTAGTCAATCTATTTACTACTTCCATTGAATGAAGAGACATTTCCATATTTACCAGAACACTTAAATATTCTGTTATTTGACTTGATTGCATAAGTTTCAACAATACTTTGATTGCAATCATAGGATTATTTTCTACCAAATCTGGTAGTTTTCCTGGAGTTAGGCCAATATGATAGACCAGTTTTGGATCTCTGTCTAACTCATCAAAGAGATGTTGTTGTTGTTGTAGAGTGACTGCACTCTTAAATGCTTTGCCCATCAGTCTGCGGGCTTCTGCACCAGCACAATTTGAGACACACATATTGGTATCATATTCGATTGTAAATTGTGAAGGTTCTGTGACATTGAACCATGACAATTCATCAAAAGATCGAAAAAGTGGAGGTGCTAATCTTAAAAATTCAGGTCTATAACTTTCAAAGCATAATGGTGGATAATTATCCTTATATGCATAGATTTCAGCCATGAACTTTGTTACATTCTTAGAATTGTAAGTTTGTATGGCTTTGGAATGATCCATATCAGGTAAAATCACTGGATTTCCACATTTTGCAACAGCTGGTAACTCTGAATGACGCTCAGCTAATTGTGCTTGCAAATTACTTAAATCAATGGACGGTACAGTTGCAAAAGATAACTCATCCACAATCTGTCTTGCAGTTTTCTTTAAGATGTCTTTCTGATTGCTCCCCAATAAATTGATTAACAAGTTTTTCTCACATTGTGACAAAACTGGAATATGTCCTGTGACATTAGTCTTTGGTACACTATTAGTAGAGTCCTTTTGTGACTTCAAAACCTGAACAAAAACAGGTGCAAATGGTGTGGAAGCTAGTGGTTCTCCTCTGTAAAGATCAAACAATAAAGCGACAGCAATCACACGTTGAACATTTTTTGGCAATAAGTCTATATGTTGTAAAAAATGAACTAATGTTGTTCCCACGTTAAATCGTTCTTCCTTTGGAAATACTTGATGTAATTGATTGCAAAGGCTTTCCAAGTTCGTGTCAAGGTTTTCCTCTTCAAGGATATCCAATAATTTTGTTAAACCGTTCGGCTTCAGCGTCATGTTGATTACATACCAAATTATACTATGTTACAGCCTCTTGGTGGTGGTTGCTTTCCACGATTATATTCATGAATATCTCGATTCCAATACAATGATTTGTGTTGAACGTCAAATATTATATGTGACATTAACTTGTAATTCATAATTGTTGTTACATCTCATACGTGATACTTTATAGGTTATGACCAGAATCACCGACGAGATAGAAAATAGACTTATCATCTTATGGGACTTTGTGTCTCATGTTCTAAAATACCGATCGTGCAGTCAGAGATTTTTTGCTGCCCTCTACGTTATGAGAACGGTGAATTCGTGAATTACAGTAGAAGCCCAATAATTGAGTGTCCGTTAATTGATCACTAGGAACACCCCTCGCTCCAACGTATCCCTCGACAAGTTGAAAATTTGAACAGAAATATAGCCACATTCCTTAACATTTCCTCTACAAAATACGAATCTTCGAGCATGGTTTTTCTTATCAGTTATGCCTCGTCTGTGGTGGTGCGAACAGATTATACATATACTCAATTAATAAAGAAATAACAATTGTGTAAATAATAAAAAATTACATTGCCCCACCCCCTGACTGATAACCTGGCTACGCCCATGAATAACGCAGTTATTTTTTAACCCGTTCGGCTCCATGACATTCTGCGGGTGATGATACCTTCATATACTGATCTTCGGGTGAAGAAAAATCTTCATATGATGATTTCAGCCACAATAGGGCGCTAAACAAGTAAAAAATAGCAGCCACAATAGGGCACTAAACAAGTAAAAAATAACAGCCACAATAGGGCGCTAAATAAGTAAAAAATAGCAGCCACATAGGCGCTTATCAGTCGCAACACTAATCATTTGTCAATAATTAGAGTGTCTCCTTTGTTCGCCACTCTAATTTACTGAATCCAAAAATCAAAAAAACTCCGCGCACCTTCACTGTGCAATACGCAACACAAACTTTAGATTGATGCAGTTAGTGCAGCCACCTGGGCTGTCGTGAACCACTCATTGCAGCTATTTCAGCTGCCTTGTGGTTCTGCTGTGGTTCCAGCATTGGGCATTTCATCGATCGTAACACTAAAACAAACCCGATCAATTCATATCGCAACACTAATTCAACAAAAGAAAACGACTTAAGTAAAAAGTAATAAGTAATCGCGCTCAGTCATTTTCGCAACACTACCCTGAAAATAAAGAAATGATCTTAATGCAAACACGATCTCATCATACGCAACACTATTCTCCAAGGAATTAGGAAGATTAATATTGACAATTTACAAAGCTAATGCAACCCGTGATCTAGTCGCATCCGCAACACTAATTCAATCCGCGATTTTGCCCAATATTGCTGGTCGTTGGGCCGATATGACGGCCAATATACAAACTACTACTACAATTACAGGCGAGTACAGTGAAGAAATATTTAGTAATGATTCCACATCCGAAGATGCAGAGCCATTCGTTGCTGCCCTCTTGAGTACACAGTTTGTGCTGGGCCTCTTCTTTTCTTCGGCGGTCCGCCCCCTGAAACCCTAATGCTGCTCGGTTGTGGACGACCAACGACTCGAAGAGTCTGTATGATCGTACCACGAGTGCAATCGAGCAGGTCGTTCGTTTCGACAATCCTATC